TTCTATTAACTGTTGTTTTATGTGTTTTGCATGTCTATTCTTTGGAGCATAGATGTTGACCACGATTTTGTCTTCTGAATTTACTGTGCCTTTAATCACTATACAGTGACCTTCTTTATCTATTATGGTGGTTTTCATTCTGAGGGCTATTTTATCAGAGATTAATATTATGACACCTGCTTTTTTGTGGATGCTATTAGTTTGGCTTATTTTTTTTCCAGCTTTTAATTTTTAGTCTATCTTTCTCTTCATTTCTTTGATGTGTCCCTTATAGTCCTTGATGGGCTTTGTCTTTTTATCCCTTATGCTACTCTTTTTCTCTTAATTGGCACATTTAGTCCATTCACATTTAGTGTGACAACTGACAGGCCAGTTTTATCTTTGCCATTTTTCTGTGTTTTATTTTTATGTTGTTTCTGGTTACTATGGTTCATCCCCTTTCCTTTGGGGTCTGTGTGAACAACCTCTCTTATAATTTCTTGTAGTTTTGGTCTTGTTTACACAAATTCTTTCACTTCCTTCTTTTCTTTGAATGACTTCATTTCTCCTTTATATTTGGGGATGGCTTTGCTGGGTACAGGATCCTTCGCTGGCAATTGTTTTCTCTCAACTTTTTGTATATGCTATATATCATTGTCTCATTGCTTGCATGATTTCTACTAAAAAATCAGAACTTAATCCAATTTCTTTTCCTTTGTAGAGGACTCTTTGTTTTTCTTGCATTTTCAGTATTCTGTTTTTATGTCTTAATTTGGAGAATTTGACTATGACATGTCTTGATGTTTCTTTAGTCTATTTAGTTTTGCTGAGCTTCATGAATGTAGATTTCCTCATTTTTCATAATACTTGAGAAGTTTTCTTCTAGGACATCTTCTACAATTTTCTCAGTGATTTCCCTGTCCCTCTCACGTTCATATTCTGTATGTTTTCCCTTTTGATGTCATTCCACATGATTCTAGTGTTTTCTTCATTTTCTTTGTCTCATCTCTGATTTTTCTTCTAGTATGTTTCCACTGATGCTCTTGTCTTTCAGCTCACTGACTCACTACTCCATTTCTTCTGTTCTACTTTTTGGTCTCTCCACTATGTTTGAAACGTCTTATATTTTGGTCTTAATATTCTGGATTGCATTTTCATGCATTTCTGTAGTTTCTAGTACTGTGTTGGCTGTACCTTCTCTGTCTTGTGATGATCTTTTAAGTTCTTGTGCCTCTTTATCTATAGTTTTAATTCTTTCTTCCAGCTTTTTCATTTTCTTCTGTAGTTGTTCAAGTTGTTCCTCATCAGTCTATTTCTTCTGGTTCCCTCTCTTTGTAGTATTTGCTTTCCTAATGGCTACTATTGTTTCTTTTATCATTTTCACTTTCTTCTGCAGCTGTTCAAATAACTTTACATCAACATATATTTTCTCATTCTCAGTTTCTGGGATATTCATTGAGTCTGCAATATGCTCTGCTTTTTAAAGATAATTATTTTGGTTTTTTTCATGATGTTTGATGCTGTTTGCTGCTTTCTTCACATTATGTGAACCATTCTTTGGTAGATGTTAGGCTGTTACAAGTGTGTAATGTCCCAGGGGAGGGTGATGCTCTGTGGAGGTCTTGTATATCAGTGCTTCCCTTTTGGCCCAAGGGCTGCAAAGCAGCATTGAATACTGTTCTCTGGAAAACTGCAGCAGGTCCACTCCTGTTCCCCTTTGGCTAAGAAATCTCAAGCTTTCTCTACATGTTGCAGTCAGAAGGGTTCAAGGCAGAAGTGGAGTTTATTCTTGGAACTATGTACTCCACAGGTTTGTTTGGTTAGTTTTTTTCCCTCCTTTTCCCACCCTCACCTTGTTTATTCAGATACTCACCAAAGATAAATTTGGCACTTCCCCATGGTTTGATTTGGTTTCCTTCTTTTCCTTTGGCCTGTGTACAGGGTTGCCCGATCACTGCAGAATTTTAATAAGACCTTTCTTTTATGTGTGTTGCATTGAGTCTGGCTTTATTCACTTGTTTAGGGAAGCTTCAACCCCTCTCACTTGAAAGCTATTGCTGCAGGATGAGTCTTTTTAATAACGTGTACAGCCAGAGGGCAAGGAAAGAAAAAGACGGAAGGAGGAGGAGGGCCAAAGATGGCTCTGGGTCCACATCTCCTTGTGAGTGGCGACCCAAAAAAGAGAGAGCCCAGCCATGGCCTCTTTGAAGTGTTTTGTTGTTTTCTGACTTCTAGGAAACCACTAACAGGTTACGCGGCCAGCAGTGTTAAAGGCTGCCTCAGGGATACAGCCTTCAGATTTGGCATGGCAGCCTCAAGAAAACATTTTCATTTATTAGCCCCCTCCCTGTACCTTGGTTCCACTCCACAGTAGAGACCCCACCACATGCAGTTATTGGAAAGTCCACAGCCAACACTGCCCCTTACCTGCCCTGTCTTGTCTTCCTCACTGCTCACATCCCTGAGGGTTCCTACTCAGAGCAGCATATCAAGCAGGGAATGCCAGCTGGAACCCACCTCTGTGTAGGCCAGGGCCACACTTCTGGAGGCAGGGAGGACTTTCTGGCTTCTGACCAGTAATTTTTTGAGATGAGGCTGAACTTGGGTGGGATGGGAGAATTGCTACTCTCCACCTGATGTATACAGACACACTTAGGAGTTCTTGAGTTCAAAGTTATGAGAACAGAAAATGTCACATGCAGTCTGGTGGCCTAGTGGTAAGGAGCTGTGGGATAAAGGTGGGCAAACTCCTCCTATGCAATCTGCTGTAGTTTGGTGTCATCGCGTCAAGCACGACTCGTTGCAGTCCTATGAACAAGAGATCTGAACCCTGTCCTATCCTGTGCTATCCTCACATGTCCTGACTAGAGTCCATTGCTGCAGTCACTGTGTCAATCTACCTGGTCAAAGGTCTTCTTCTCTTTTGCTGACCCTCCAACTTTCCAAGCATGATGTCCCTCTCCAAGGAATAATTGCTCCTCACAACATGCCCAAAGTATGTGTGACGAAGCTTTACCACCCTTGTCTCCAAGGAACATGCTGGCTGCTCTTTCTCTGAGACAGATCTGTGCAATTTACTGCCTCTGAAAACCTGAAGAAGGGTCAGCTATGTCTTGGTTCTAACTTGGTGGTACAAAACAACAATATCACATGCAGTCTGGGTAAGTGCCATTTTGTGAATATGTGTGTATAGTAGATCACAGTATCAAATAAATTTCTGGTGTTTGTAGGGAAAAAAAGGTTACAAAGCACATTCATCAAGTCCCACCCCACAGAAGGGTGAACTGAGGCCCCAAGGTGCTCCAGTTCTCCTTCCTATTTCCCTCTCCTGACCCCCAGCTCAGCCCCCAGCACCAAGTTGTCAAGTCAAACTGTTCACACCCATGACACCAAAGGATACTGAACTGGGAGAGACAGAGCACTGAGGGCTCTGCTCCCAGGAACCCTCAGGACAGGACTTCCACCACCTTCCCACACTCACCCACACAGTTGCCTTCAGGGTCCTGCAAGAAGCCGTCCATGCAGCGCTGCCGAGCCTGGCAGTAGAAGGAGCCCTTGGTGTTCTGGCACGTGAAACCCACCTGGCAATTGTGTGTGCCCAGTGCACACTCATCCACATCTGCACACAGAGGCCAGTGTCAGGAGTGGTCCTCCAACACCCACCCTGGAACCCTGCTCATCCCACCCAACCTCAGGCCACTGTGGGGAGGCCACGTTCTTGCAGACAAACTAAGGGTGCAATACCTCCTAACCAGGCCCATGTCCCTGGAATCTGAACACACCTACTCAGCTTTCTCTGTACCAGGTACTGCTCTCAGCACCTCTTGACACATTTATTTAATCCTCACAGCAACTCTACGAAGTAGGTAGCTCTGATGGCTTAGTGGTAACGAGCTGTGCTGCCAACCTAAAGGCACAGGGTTTGAATCCCCAAGCAGCTCTGTAGAACGAAGATGTGAAATCTCTTCCTGTGAGATTAAATGCCTCTCAAAACCATCAGCTATGAATTAGTTCCAACTCAATGGTATACAACAAAAACAACAAGAAGGCATAGCTAGGGAACACTGGGTAGAACGAGAACTCAGGCAGCCTCGCTCCACCAAACCACGTACCTGTCTCTACTCAATTTTGTAACCTCTGGGCACAAGCACCACAAGGTCAAAGACAAAGACCACTGCACCCCACACTCTGCCAGATGATGAAATCTCAGGAGATATGAATTAACTGAATGCAAAGTCTCCCTCTTGTCGTTAAGTGCTGTCAAGTTGACTACAACTCACAGTGATTCCATGAATGATGGATTTGAACCCTACCCTTTCCGGTGCCGCCCTCACCACCTCTGATATATCCAAGCCCATTGTCACAGTCTCTGTGTCAAGGCTAGGATTTTCTAGTGAAAAGAGAGGGAATGATTTTTCAAGGGGCTCCACTCTCACGTGCAAACAGAACATGCAGGGCATGAGATGCTCACTGAGCAGCTGCAAAGCCAAGATCATATTCATGAATTCCCCTGACAAAGACACATCCTCTGGTGCAGTCCTCCACAGGCCAGAAGCCTGCATGCTGGCTGCTCCCAGGAAGGACTGAGCCCCTCACCTGTGCACTCGCCATCCTCAAGTCTGTAGCCCGGCTCACAGGTGAGGGCCTTGTAGCAGCGGAAGGAGCCCAGTGTGTTGACGCAGTGCTCGCCCCTGCTGCACGTGTGCAGAGCTGTCACGCATTCATTGATGTCTGCAGGAGAGGGGGCTGTTAGGGCTTCTGCAGGCAGCCAGAGGGAAGGGTGAGCTGGGCCCTCTGGAGCCACACACAGCAATGCCATTTATCTATCCATCCATTCACTCAGTAAATATTTATTAAACACCTGTTATGTGCCAAACAATGCTTGTGGCACGGGGAACACCTCTTAGACAGCAGACAAAGAAAGCCCTACCCCGTGGAGCAGACATTCGGGGAGGAGACACAGTAAACAGACAAACACAGAAGCCTGTAGTACTGGAGATGGTTATAAGTGCTGTGTGTGGGGGGGGGCGAATAGACAGGATAGAAAGAGGAGGAAGGTCGAGGGAGGGATGCAGGGTCAGGATCAGGGTCAGGGAGGGCTCTCACATGATACTGCTGGAGCAAGGATTTGAAAGAAGCCAAGATGTTCTAGGCAGAAGGAACATGGCCAATGCAAGGGCCACGGAAGCCTGCCAGGCACCTTCAGAGGATAGAGAGGGGGCAATTATGGCCTGAGAAGAGATCTGGCCTGGTCTAACTTAGCCACTTGGAGACCAGTCTTGAGGTGTGAAGGCGGCAGCAGGCTTGGTAGAGGATTAGGGTTCTCCAGGTAGGAGAGGCCTGTGGCTCAGGCCGTGGGACAACTAAAGCTGTATGCCAACTTAGCTGCTTATGAGTCTCAGATTTCGTGGTTGTGTTGTGGTTAGTCTGTCCATGAGAACAGGTGTAATGTAATGGTTCTCCCTGAGGAGATTTCCTGTGGGCAGACAACTGACCAAAGAGGCGTTTCATCAGTAGTGTGGGCTGCCTGGAGGATGTGAGGTGGCCTGGGAGGCTGGCTTGCTTTTTGTTCAATCTCAATCTTGTGCCTGGCTCCTCATATCTTTTGTTCCTTGGACCAGTGGCCAGACTTGTCTGCCAATGTTGGTGCATCACTATCTGCAGCTACAAGCCACAAACCTGGGACCTGCAGCCTGTATAAGTGTGGGTCACTCATTTCCCTTGGATCTCTCTCTCTCTCCCTCTCCCATCTTCCTTCCCCCCACACCCTGTGTGTGTGTGTGTGTGTGTAGTATTTGCTTTCCTTCTCTCGAGAGCCCAACTACAGCAGATGCCCACCCACAGCAGTGGTGAGATAAGGTCAGACTCTGGAAATATCCTAAATGTGGAACTGACAGGCCCCACTGAGGGATGACAGGAAGGTGTGAGAAGAGTGTAGAAGTAGAGGCCTGAGCAGCTAGACACAGGAGATGGTATCTCCTGGAAGAGATGGACAAGCCAGCATGCAGGGCAGGGAAGACCTGAGCCCCATGGCCACATGCACTCAAGCAGCACCCAGGTGGAGATGTCAAGAAGAGGCTGCAGAAGGCAATGTGCAGAACACATGCCAGAGTCTTCAAAGGCCCTGGCTAAGATATTAATCTGTGGCCAACAGTAAGACCCAGCATGGCTGCATGAGTAGCTCACAAAGAAGAGACTGGTAGGGGTGCTAGGATCAAAGACTGCCTCTGGGGATGCAGGGCTGAGGGCCACATGCCCCTAAGAAGCAGTGAGTTTTGAGCTGAGTGGACCAGGTGGACAGCAGGTCAGGAGGTGGGGCAGGGCCACGGGAAAAGAGAGCCAGTGGTTAACACAGAAGGCAGTCAGGGGAAGAAGGTTTGGCTGGACATCAAGTTGTGGTGCACAGGCTGGGTTAGCCAAGAGAGATATGTCCAGGGTCTCAGACACACCACAGGCAGGAACAAGCAGAGAGATAACGGAGGCTTAAGATAGGGTGGGTGGCTCAGTTCAACAGATGTGGAAAAATGAGGTCTCCAGCTGCAAGAGTGGAACCCAGGGCCTCAGTACAGAGCCCCTTTAAAGAGGTGCCCTTTCCCTACCACCAGGCCCTTCTGCCAGGTGAGTTTTGGAGTTTGAGTGCTCCCCTCCATCTCATAGACCAACCCATCCATACACCTTCCCAGGGGCCAAGACAATCCTCCAGGTGCAGGGCACAGATGGCAGATACGAAGTCTCAGGAGCTGCCAGCAGCAGTAATGCACCTGTCCAAGGGCCTTAAGACTCAGCCCTAAATTTAACCCTGATGCGCTTCAGCTTACACACCTCCAGTGATGGGGAGCTCACTCACTAAGCAGACTGCCTAAGCATCACACATTGTTGACTCTAATGCTAAACTCTGGCAAGTACTTTATATGGGTTCATTCATTTACACTTCACAATGACCCTATGAGGCAAGAGCTATACTCAGCCCATTTCACAGATACGTAAACGGAGGCATAGTGTGGATAAGTAACTTGCTTGCTGTCTTAATATTAGAAAATGCCTAAAAGAAGAGGCTTTGGCAGTGCACCAGCCTCCCCACTGGTCAGGCAGACACACATATGTGAGTGAGCAAATGAGCAGACACAAATAAATGCTTGTGCGTGAGGAAGTGATGGTGGGGAAAGAGCTGGTGGTAACAATGGATGACAAATGAGAGCGTGAATAAGTGGAATGGACTTGCTGAACATTTTACATGGGACAAACAGAGCAAGGGACTGAAGGCTAGTATATTTTGCTGAATGGGATTTACCTTTGCTCTTTGAACCCAGCACCCATTTACCAGCCACCGAGGGACCCCTGGCACCATAGGGCTTTTTCCTGGGGAAGTAGAGGCTCACAAGACATACAAGAATGTTCCCTCAAGATGGCAAGAGGAACAGGCATCCTGGGAAGTGGTGCCTGTTTCCTGGGCAGTGCATCAAGCCTTTCCAGGCAGGCACACACACGTACACAGGCTCAGTCCAGACAGGAAGAGGATGCCCAGCCCAAAAGCAGATGAGGAGGTGCATGTTGTACCTGTGGCAGGAGGCCAAGGGCAAACATGTGGGCAGTCAGTGCCGTGGGCCCACCTCCCAGGTGGCAGAGGGCAGGCAGGGAATGCGACACAGTCAGGCTGGACACAGCCCACAAGCACAGGGCCCCGGCCAGCATACTCTGCGCTCGCTGCCCTGCGCCCACCTCCACACCCTCACTCAAGCTGTTCCTCTCACCTGATGTCCTTCCCACCAGCAAAGTCTGTCTTCCCAGGACACCAGTGCAAAGCATGCCTGATTCCATGGCTGGAATCAGCCTCTCCTGGCCCGTGTGTCTGCTGCTGCAGTGACCACTATCTGCTCTGAGTCCCTGCTATCTTTGAGCTGGGTTTATCTCTTTGGGACCACGCAGGAGCCCGTGCATGTTCCTCAGGTCGAGTCCTCCAGCCACAGAGGCATTAAAGAGACGGGCAGGAACGGCCTCACAGATCTTGAACCACGTCAGGCCCTGGCTAGAGGCTGGAAATGTCTCACCCAATCCTCCTGGTCCGAGACCACTGGGCAGCAGCCCTCCAGGGGAGAAGGGAGAAATGGAGGCTTAAGGAAGACGACTTTTTGGGGTCCCGTGGCAATGGGCAGTGAACGTGCCCGCTGGATCCCAGCATTTGTCCACGCACCTCTACCTCTGCGGTCATCTGATGATGGCCCAGCTGATAATGGTACCATGTTCACTGTACCCCACAAAGTGCTCACTGACCACACCCAAATGCAAGATCAGTGACCCCCTGCGCCCAGCCACAGAACTACTGGGGGGTGGAGTTTTCCTTTGGGCCCCAGGCCCCACGTACACTATCCTGCTGCCCAACCCACGTGATCTCCACATTTGCTGCCCACGGGGTCAAGGGCCCAGCCAGGCCACATGTCCAGCTGAGCTGGACGACTCCAGGCACATCCCTGGGGAAAGCATCCCCCATGAGAGCTGGCGGATAAGCAGGACAGGACACGAAGGATGTGACACAGAGTGCAGGGGTGCGCCGGCTGCGCTGAGAGCTCAGATGCAAAGGGCAGGCCCTTTAGCATGTGGCCGCGGGAGGGCATGGCTTGCACGGTGCAGAGCGGAGAGCCGTGACGGTGGGCAGCAGGCAGGAGCTCGTGCTTACCCACGCACTTCCTGTGCGCATTGAGGATAAAGCCCTCTGCACACAGCACTGTGTGGTTGACACAGTAGAAGGATCCCAGGGTGTTCACACAGAACTGGCGCCGGCTACAATCGTGAGTGCCCAGGAGGCACTCGTCTCGGTCTGGTGTCAGCCACAGAAGGAAAAACAGAATTAGAGGGGCGTGGCCTGCCCTGGAGCCCACCCTATAGGGAAACTGAGGTCTGGAGAAGGGCAGGGAGCTGCCAGGGCCTCCCGGCCATCAGTGGGAGAGCTGGGTCTTGAACCCTAGTCTGCATTAGTAGAGTCAAAGATCTGTGAGTTGCAACCATCTGCTCATATGGGGTAAGGGGTGAGGAGAAACTCGGAGGATGAATAGCCTGTCCCACATCCAGACAGGACCAGAGGCAGGGCCCAGGCAGAGCCCAGGCAGAGCCCAGGCAGGCCTCAGGCATGCCCCCTCTTCCATGGTTGCCAAAGAAATCAGTGTGGAAGAGGTTACACACGCAAGTGCCCTGAGGGCCAGGCAAACAACAGAAAGGGGAACGGCATCTGGGCTCTATTCAAAAGAGGGCCAAGACATGGGACTGTGTGGTCTTATTTTGTAAAGTTGCAAGAGAAATCCAGAATCTAAACTTTTTTTTTAAAAAGTCTTGAGTTTCTCATGGTGGCAATGCATGTGAATATGTTAAACATGAAGGAGTGAAGCAGAACCCCACTGCAAGCCAGACTGAAGCCTCAGAGGCAGCCTCTGGCCTGGACAGCACCATTTTTGTCTCAAGGAGAAGGTGGAAGCCTGAGGAGGCACATACCAGAGGAGTAGGGCTGTGCCAAGTCCGATATCCCAAACCCTCTTAGGGCCATGCTCATAGCTTCAGGACAACCCTTCTGGTGGACAGATCCTGGGAGGTGGGGGAGAACTTCAAATGATACAGCACAAGCCAGGACTAAAATTGCCTCCACGGCATTTGAGACAGAGTGGGGTGAGGTCATCACCACACTGCACACGCCAGGCAAATTTCCCACCCTCTATGGGTGTCCGTTCACATTAAAATGTAGGTCTGCTCCAGTTAGTCCCTGGGGCACTCAGGATCACATCTGCTTCCCAGGCCCTGTATCAGCCAAGTCCCCAGATAACATGTAAAACCCCTCTTTGGCTTCATTCTCTGTGGAAACCAATTCTGATGATGGGTAGGTATCAAACCAATTCTGATGATGGGTAGGTATCAAACCAAAGACTACATCTTATATCAGGGAAGTCCCACACTCTGGACCCCACCGAGAGCCAACCCAGACACAATCCCCCAGCTCCTCAGCAGATCACTGGAGAAAAGCAGGGTTTCCCCAGGGTCCCTGTGTGGCAGAGAGGCAGCTCACTGGCACCAATTCCATTTCTTCCCCACGTTAGTAAGAGATGAGCACAAGAAATCCTGCTAGAGAATTTTCTCCCCTTGCCTCACCTGCACTAGCAATAGGGGGCGCTGGAGGGGATACTAGCAGTCGGGGCACTTGGAGGGGAGAATGCTTTAGGGTCCTACTTCTCAAACAGCCTAGCTTCCCTCCTTCTGTGAACTCTGACCATGGAGACGAGGGTAACATGAGATGGCAGGGCCACTCACGGTATGGACCACCTGGTACCTTGTGAGGGATGCTGATTCCTGGGAACCAGTTCTGACCTCTTGAATCAGAACTTCTAGGGATGGGACCCAGAAATCTGTATTTCTAACAACGTTTCAGATGATCCTAATACCTGTGAAGTCTGAGGTCTCTGGGAACCCACGGTGGGCTGGACAGTGGCCCTGCCTCTGGAAGGGAAGTTGCTGTCACTCTGTTTAAGCTGCAGGATTTGGAAATCCCATCACAGAAGCTAAGCCTGCTCCCCAGCCACAATAGAGTGTTAGAACTTGGCCATACTGTCCTCCCTCAGACCATCCCCACCTAATGCTGAATCCGGCAGAGGAGGACCCGGGCACTCACCTTCACAGGACACACCATCGGCCATGATGGCATAGCCAGGAAAACAGGAACACATGGCCCTGTCCCCAACCATGTTGCACACCTGCTTGCAGGGTCCATTGTCTGTGGGGAAGGGGCACCGGATCAGCCATCACCACCCAGCTATGGCCTCACCCCAAGCCATGCATCCCCCCCGATTATGGCCCCTACCCTCACAGAGCAGACAGGACAGCCAGTGAGCTGGAGAGATATCCCCAAGCCCGGCCCCATTCAGGTCTAGGACAAAGGTCATGACTCCCCACTACAAGGCCCAAACCTCTCCCTTGAATGACAAGATGACAGAGGAGGTCAAGGAAGAGAGGTGGCAGAGAAGGAAGTGAAATATGTAGAGGTGAGGACAAAGAAAGGGGAAATGGCATGAACTCCCAAGGAACACCGAGTGCACTTCCCTCTGCTCCATGAACAAGAAGAGGACCTGGCAGGAGAAGCTGCTCTGGAGCTCGCCACACTGGCTTGCCAGCAAGGTGCAGCATGAACCTAGCGCACTAAGCTGAGCCCCAAAGCAGAAGCACCCCACATTGGCAGGAGGTCCCCATGCACCCTCCCAGACCTAAGAGCTCTCACCTGTCAGCAGCCTGGACACTTCCCCCAATCCCAGGGCCCTGCTCAAGGATGCTGCCACCTCTACTTACTTTTGCAGGTGTTGGGTTGTGGCAGGGGTAGTGGGATCGTGTTGGGGGCCACTGGAGACGACTGTGGCCTCGGAGCAGACTGTGCTGTATCCTCCGGCTTTGAGGGGTCTTGATCTGTGATAGGCAGAACAGGAGAATGAAGGGGGCGAGGCACTAAGGCATCATGGCCTGGACACCCCATCACTCAGCAGAGGTCATTTCACTCCACCCTCCCCATTTCACAGTGGCACGGAGATGTGCCTCGGGCAACACCTCACAGCTCTTCTAGGCTGAGGGTTCTACAATAGAGAAGAAAAGAGGCATGACGACGAGAGGGGAAGGAAGGAGGGTTTCCAGACCATTTGCAGTTAGAGAGCCTTCTAGAACCAGGGACGGAACAACTCCCTGGTCTGCCAGGGCTGACACCAAGGTCCCATGCTACCAAACACAGCCTGGGTTCAGCTCTGAGAGCTCTGGGGTTCTGCCCTTGAGCTCCAATCAGGACCCTCTGTCTGCAGTTGTCATGTTTTTGTTGTGCACTGACAAGCTGGAACCTACTCATAGTTGACCGTCCAGAGGGCTTTCAGCGGCAGTAAATCATATGGGAGAAGACTACTCATCTTTCTCCCACGGAGTTGCTGGTGGATGTGAGCCTTTGTGTCAGCAGTGCAGCTCCTCATTCGGCCATCAGAGCCTCCCTCACCCTCACAGCTAAGGGCTGCCAGCTCCTGTGGTCTCACTGTGTGTGGGTGCAGGGGTCAGGTAACCCAGATTTCCATCCTGCCTTGCCCCTGCTGCTCCCATCGCAGGGATGCTGTGTTTACTGGCAAGCCCAGTGCCCAGCTGCAACCCAGGTGACGGGCCCTTACCTGGACGGCAGGTGCGGCCGTCGTCCTGCAGCGCGAAGCCGGGGAAGCAGGCACAGTGGTAGGAGCCCACAGTGTTGATGCACAGGTGCTGGCACAGCTCCCCCGGCAGGAGCAGGCACTCGTCCTGGTCGTCGCCCGGCAGGCTGTTGGGCAGCTCAGCCTCCGTGCCCAGCGTGAGGGCCTCCTGGGCCCCCACTTCTGCCTCTGAAACTGGGGTGGGGTCAGCATTTAGGACATAGGAACACGGCAGCCCGAGCCGGCAGCACAGGCCGCATGGACCACCAGCAAGTCCTCAGCAGATCCTTATGTGTGCCCAGCAGATAGGACAGAGCGGACAGGGGTATTAATGAATGGGTAAGCAAATGATTGTGTCAACCAATGAACAAATCTCCAGCCACAGAGAGCCTATCAAAACCAAGGCCTGCTCTTCATTATCTTCTTCTTGTTACTGTGTACTGTCCAGTCAGAAATGGCCCACAGCTGACCCAGCAGCAGGTTTTCAGAAGCTGTAAATCACATGAGAAGAGACTGCCCCTCCTTCTTCAGAGGAACAACTGGTGGATTCGAACCACATACCTTTCCGTTGATAGCACAACTTCTTACCACTAAGCCACCAGAGCTCTGTTCGTCACCTTGAGCCCTGAGGAAGCACGTGAGTGCTATCAGGGAGGCCCTCTCAAGGCAGGATGGATTCCAGCACGCTGGACCTTCACCTGACTCGGGCTCTGTCCCTGTCACCGGGGAAGTCGCTGTGTTCTGGGAGGGAAGCCAGCCCCCTGGGGCTGCGGTGATGCATAAGGAAGATCAGAAGAGAAGGCCTGGGTCTGTGCCATCGGTCTAGCGGTCACGAGCTGCACTGCCAACCTAGAGGCACGTAGTTCAAACCCACCAGCTGCTTTGCAGGAGAGAATGAGTAATCTCCACCCATGCATTTTATAGTCTCTGAAAACCTGCTGGAGGGTCAACAATGGGTCGGTTCCAAGTCAACAGCACATAACAACAACAAAAGCTTTGTATTATGGCAAGAAGAAAGATACAGGACAGGACTTGATGGGACAGCTTGTGGCCTCTCCAAGGCTCTGCATCAGCCAGAGTCTTGGCCCTTTATGCCGGACCCCTGAGCTGAACCTCAAGCAAGCAGCTGCGTGAAGTCACCTCTGAGGAACATGTTTCCTATTGAGATGTTTACATCACACTCCACTCCAATCAGCACTGGCCTGGTGCCTGCAAGTAAGGCCACAATCAGCGGCAATCACACATGTGAACACTCATCTGTGAGCCCAGCGCTCCTCAGACCAACCTGAGGCTGGGCAGCACCTCAGGAATCCAAGCTGAGCCCATCCTCGTGTGACAATCCTCACAGGGGCTTAGAGAGGGGACCAAGTGCTGGAGGGACAAAGGAATGTGTCCAAGGTCATCTAAACAGGGCTCAACCTCAGGTCAGTCAGACTCCGCTCCCCTCAGCAGCTGAGGCCCAGGCCACCTGCTGCGTTTCACAGGGGGACAGCACCACCTGTCCCTGGTTCAGGTGCCACCTGCTCCCCTCACTCAAGATTTCCTCCCTCACCTCATCTTGAACCAGCTGCTTCTGATCCTCATCTGGCACTCACACCAACGGTCAAACAGTCCTTTCAAAATCAACCCCAGCAAGTGACACTTCCAAAAACTGGACTCAACATCTGGTCCTACAATGGCTGTGGGAGGCTGGCCAGTCCTCCTGTCTTGGTTAATTAACGTCCACCTTCCATGTCTAGCTCTGCTAGACAGCCAGAAAACTCTGCCCCAAGGGGTGCGTGTGTCATGCAGCCTGTGACAAGACCTCTTTCCCATGCAGATTCCCACACTTTACATTACAGGGACATAATGACAGAGATTTGGATTGGTTGAGGTCACAGCTACCTGTGGCCAGGGTCAAGGTCAGGGTAGCAAGAAGCCCAGAGGTGAGAGATGTCAGTCATGGTTATGGTGAAACCTAGTCACATGGCTAGGGCAAGATCCTGGATAGACAGAAGAAGTAAGGATAGATGGATGACTGAATGAGTAGATGGGCAGGAAGACGTATGGCAAGCCAATACTAAATATTTGTAATAAACCAAATGCTATTTCAGGATAGAATTCACCCTGAGGCACCAAGGCAATCCTTAAGGGTTTACCAGATTCTTGCATTTGCTGACTCCTTCCTCCTGAGTCAAGGGGAAGATTTCAATAGAAAGAGCTTGGCTTCATTTGCATTGAATTCTCTTTGTGATTTACTTCCTGATAATTTTCAATAAACATGCAGGGAAGCGGGAATGGGGGTCTTCAGCAGAGAGCTGCTGGCCCCCTGTATTTCACGTTCTCTGCTCTCATTCCTGGCTGTCTGTCTCATTATTAACACGTTGCCACAAATGACGGTAATACATCGAAGGAAAAAAAAATGTGTTTCTAAGCACGGGTCGTCAATTTAAACGTGTGCGGCAACATGTTAATAATTATAAAAATACTTTACCATCGGTCTGCATCAAATATGGGTGAAATGAGGAGATGAACAAGAAAGTAGGAGGATGAAGAAATAGAGATGAACTAATGGTTGTTATGCATCAGAGAGCTGGACAATAACCAAGGAGGATAGAAGGAGAATTGATGCCTTTGAGCTGTGGTGCTGGAGAAAAGTATTGAGAATACCATGAACTGCTAGGAAAACAAACAGATTTGTCCTGGAAAGCGTTAAACCGGGTGGCTCCTTGGAGGCAAGGATTCTGAGGCTTTGTGTAACATATTTTGGACATGTGAGGGGGGACCAGTCCTTGGAGAGGGACATCATGCTTGGGAGGGTGGAGGGACAGCGCAGGAGGGGAAGGCCCTCTAGGAGGTGGATTGATTCAGTGACTGGGATAATTGGGAGTGTGTCAGAGACAGTGAAATTGGCACAAGACAGAGCAGAGTTTAGGGCTGTTATGCATAGGGTCACTATGAGTTGCAAGCAATTTGATGGCATATAACAACAACAACAACAATGGGTGGGGGACGGATGAATGGATGGATTGGGAAAAGAGTGGAATGGTGAATTGATGGGAATGGAGAATGTATGGATCTATTAGTGGCTGAATAATGGGAGGATAGATTGATAGGTGGATGGATAAATAGATGGAGGAAAAATAGATGGATGAATGGATGAATGAATGAGTAGGAAAGAAGATGGGATGGGAATGAATTGGAGAAGGCAGATGGTTAAATGGACAGATAAATGAATGGGTTATGCAAGTCGAAAGATGAGAAAGTGGGTGAGCAGACAGTGGAAAGTGCAAGGATGAGAGGTTGTAGTAGATAGGTAGATGAATGAGTAGATACCTGATTAAGAATACCATCTCAGAAAGAAAGGGGCAGAGTCCACAGTCAGAGACCAGGAGAATGCCATCTAGGACAGTACTTCAGTCATAAGCACTTGACAGTGGATACAGGTTTCCCCAGAAGGACAGTGTGCACCCCACCCCCCTCAGCTGAAGAACCAACAGTCTTGAGCCCTCACCCAACTGCACACAGGGCAGCACTCACCTCTCTGTGGGATGGTTGCAGGCTCTGGAGGTCCTTGGACCTCGGGCACAATGAGGGGGTCTTCGCCCACACAGCAGGACTGCATCACATGGTTGCAGGGGTAGCCAAGGTTGGGGTTGGACTCACACGACTGGCCTTCACCCCGCACACGTAGCCCCATGCCACAGCAGTCACAACATTGCTAGAGGAGAAGATTGAGCCATCATTGCCCACCCCAGAACTCCCCAGTCACAGTGGACTCTCCAAGGTCTCCTGTGTATCTCCTCCACGGCCTGAGCCTGAACTCAGGGTCCCTGGGTGCGACGTAGGGTTAGACTCGAGGACCATGTCTTCTCACCAGCTACCATGCTCTTTGAGGGTGATGAGGTCTCTGTCTCCACATCCTAGTTCCTAACTAGAACTGGCGGAGTAGGGCTACTATAAGTTTTATAGACTAATAAAGGGTCTCTTGTGGAAGATGCTGAACTAGGTGGATTGCCACAGTGACTGCAGCCGTGGCTCAAGTGTGTCAGAGATTGTGAGACTGACACAGGATTGGACACGGTTCAGTGCTACTGTTTATAGGGTTGCTAGGAGTCATACTTGACTCCATGGCTCATCATCATCATCATCATCATCATAATGCAGAAAGTCTAACAATTATTCCCCAGTTCTATCCATTATCCCTCCATCTATACCAGCAAAATGCCAATTCCATCCAGGCCAAGTAAAAGACAGTATTTGTCAGTGTCCTCAGTCATTACATATGGAAGCTAATGGGTGGAACTTTAAATACAGCTTTTGAACTAGGACTAACTCAATCTATCAACACATCCTTTATGATCTTCCTGTCCCTTTTTTGTGCAATTTAAGTGATGGCTGGGGCTCCAGCAGCCATCATGGACTACTGGATGACCTTGAAGACAGAAGATACACACTAAAGATGTCTGAGAAGAAAATAAAGTCTGGGTCCCTGAAAATATCATTAGATCTAGCTCATCTCAGACTGCCTATTTCTAAAAGTAAACCTTTTAACTGGTTTAAATTAGTGTGGTACATTTGCTGCAGTGTTGTGTTGTTACGTTACATTACGTTACGTTACGTTACGTTACGTTACGTTACGTTACGTACCACCAAGACAGAACATACCCTTAGCTGACCCTCCTGTGGGTTTTCAGAGGCAGAAAATCACACACAAGATTTCCCATCCTTTCTCCTGCACTGTAGCTTGTGGATTCTAACTATCTGTCTTCAGGTTGGCAGCACAGCTCCTTACCAGAGCTCCCTAATGACTGCATCAAGTGCAGTAATTTATATTATTGCCTGTGTCCACTGTGTTTGGGTATCCAGTATGGGAAGATGTGTGGAGCAGCTGGATTCTACAAAGGTGTGTTTTCTAATTTGAGGCTTGGGTGTGAACTCTTTGCTTGCTTTTTTATTTTATTGACAACTGGGTGTGAGCAGATTAGATTTAGCCTTGTTTTTTGTTTTGTTTTGGTTTGGTTTCTGGTTAGAAAGGCTGTTTATTTCCCTCCTTCCCTGTACAGGTTGCTTTTCAGAAGCATGGGAGTATCTTCTGCATCCTCATAAAATGAACAACTCACATCCTGTCAATAACATATTTCTACCATTTGTTTTAGAGTAATAGCCATTTTCTTGTTTTCCAACTTAGTTCAAGAATAGCTTCAGGCCTTGTTTTTAAAAAGGCAGTTAGTTGCCAATTTGGGGCTGGTATCCAGTTTGGGAAGATGTGTAAGTTTTGTGGAAAGATTTGTAAAGATGTTTAAAGTTGGATTCTACAAAGGTGTTATTTTCTTGTTTTGATTGAGGCTTGGGTATGGACTGTTTGCTTTTGTTGTTGCTGTTTACAACTGGGTGTGAGCTGATTGGATTTGGCCTTGTTATTTAAAAGGGCAGTTGGGCCCTCTGCTTGTGGCACTCATGCCTGGTTTTAATTGTTTCGGTCAAACATCCTTCTAAGTGGTATAGCACTGGTCTGTCAATTTGCTGTACAGAGGTAACTCATGGTTGCTGTGATGCTAATCACTGTGACACTGATGTATCAAATGTGATAATGGTTATCCATGGTGGACACTGTTTGGCGGAGCTCTCAAATTAAAACAGGCTTGGAAGCAGGAGTGACATCCACTTCCGAAATAGCTTGCTTCTGGAAACTCTATGAACTCAGAGAAATGATGATAGTTATACAACAAGGTTCAGGCCTTTCATTCATAGGGTCACTATGAGTCATCTATGACTTGATGGCACTTAAGAACAATAACAACCACCACCATTGTCTTTGCAATGTAATAATGGAGCTTCTCTTATCAAAGCCTAGAATCTACTTCCTAACCTCTGTGTCTTATGATTGAATCTGGTTAAAAAAGATGAGACAAAAGTGACGATATGCCAGTTTGCGGCCTTATTTTGCTGCTTGTGTTCCATAGTCAGAACCGACCCACAGCTGACCCTCTTGCAGGTTTTCAGAGACAGTTAATCGCATGGGAGGAGACTATCCATCCTTTTCCCACAGAGTAGCTGGTAGCCTTGAACCATGTGCCTCTGGTATTGCAGTGCAGCTTGTGCTTCTACCTCTTTTGGGAGCTGACCCAATCTCTTAATTGTACAAGCCCAGACTAGCCTACTTGAGGCTAAGAGGCCACATGGAGCACTGATAAGCCATCTCAGTGGACCGTCCTAAAGCATCTGGCCCTGACGGAGCCATCAGCTGACTGCAGATGCATATGTGAAACTAGCCAAGCCCAGGTATGCATGGCCCAGGTGAGCAGAAGCACCCAGCTGACACAGAGACTGTGAGCTAAGCTGCTCACAAGCCACAACGTCTGGTACTCCAGACCTCACCTCCATGTGGAACATTTCCATTTCCTGAAGATTCATCATGTGCTTACTAAACAATTAAGTTTCTATTTTCTCGGAGCATCACAACTGCCCCATCAAAGGTGAAAAATTACCATCAATTTAAAAGAGGGAGAAGCAGAGGCTCAAGGAGATAGACCGTTCTAGGGCTTTCTGAACTTGCTTGCTACTGGTCTAGGGCTTTCTGAACTTGCTTGCTACCAAAGTCATTTCCCTACTATTATTTGCGACCCCGGCTACGTCGGGCTGTGAAAGCAAGGCCCAACTTGCCTTATACAGGGAGATGCCACAGGTGTCGTTGTCCTCAGCCCCACAGGCCTCGCCCTCCTTGGCCGCCAGGATGCCGGCCATGCAGGTCTTCTCCTTCAAGTAGGAGACACAGCAGTGCTTCTGAGCCGTCCTGCAAGGGAGGGTATACTCAGCTCCGCGACGTACCCACACATGCATTGTACACCCCTCCTCCCAGGGGGAGACTGCATCCTTTCACAAGGAAGAAGCCAAAGTACGCTCCCCAAGATCACACAGCAAGCAGGTACCACTGCTGGTGGCTGGAGCACCAGAGGCTGGCAACCTCTGCCGGGCCAGAGGGCTTTATGTCTTAACTCTGCAAAGAGGACTCAGGCCTGAGTGCCACTGGGCTGAGAAGAACATGGAAATTCAACACAGGAAGGGCTGAGGAAGCACAGCTCACAGGACCCCTACCCTCTGCTTCCCAATCTCTGAAGGCTTGTCCTGGGGCAGAGACAGTTCAGGAGTCAGAAACATGGAGGGTCCCAGGAGGCAGGTTTTAGCACCGTGAAGAAGTGTGGCACCCAGTAAGAACTGTCTGGGATGGAACCAGTGTCCTTGATGTGGTGAGGTTCTCACAACAGGAGAGATGCAAGCATGCAACAGGGCTGCAGTTACAAGCCAAGCTGTGCCCTTCCAAAAGGTATGTTCAAATGCTCGATCCCAGTACCTGTGAATGTGAGCTTATTTGGAAAAGAGCACCTTCTGTAAATGTAGTAAGTTAGCATGAGGTCTTATATGTGACAACAGAAACAAAGATTACAGTGATGCAGCCACAACGCAAAGAAAACCTATGCTACCAGAACCTAAAAGACGTTCCCCAGAGCCTTCTGAAAAAACGTGGCTCTGCTGCTACTTGGCATTTAACTTGTGGCCTCCAAAATAGGGAGAGGATAAATTTCTGTTACCCGCCTGTGGTATGTGTTCCTGGGAAATTAAGACAGCTGCTTAGATCAGATCTCTAAGAGACTGGCTGGTGCATACCTTCACCACCACGAAGCCTCAGATGAATGGGACAGAGAAGGAAGAGCAAAGGGACAATTCAGAATCCAATTTTTTCTTAAGAAAGCAGTGTGGGCAGGACACAAGGAAACATGGATCTAACCCCAGCCCTGCTGCGTGGCTCTAAGTAAATTACTTTGCCTCTCTGAACCCTACCTTCCTAGTCTGGAGAAACGACTAGGCTGGAAAGATGCTGTTCCTGGAGAAGAGAGGCAAATGGCTGGCTAGCCCTCCTGTGGGACTTAGTGGGGGAAAGCTATGCATGTGAATAAATAGTGGGTTTGCAGACAACTCCAGAGTCAGAGGGACAATCAGAAGCAGAGCTGTGAGAAGCCCATCTTCTGGAGGCTGGAGGGAAGCAGAGTGGGGAAAGAACAGAGGCTGTCCGTTCAATGCTGAGGAGGAAACCAGCATGAGCAAGCACCACAGGGCAGGCGCAGCGTGTGGAAGCCCTGAGTGTCCCCAGGCGGGGAGAGTGTTTAAACCTTGCTCTGCATTGTGTACCCTTTAGACAGAGCTGAGTAGGCCAGCTTCTAACTCATGTGGTTTGTTCATTCTTGGAGTCACTTTTCGGCTATCAGGCAGCCCACAGCAGCCACATCTAGAGCCCTTTTGCACCTGGAGGTGAATATCACAGAGGCTGGAAGTCAAAGTCAGCAGGAATCTCAAGGGGCCCACCTACCTGCAGATGTCACTCTCCAGGCCAATCTCAGGGACATCTGTGCAGTCATCATTATAAATGGCCCGCTGCTGCCCAGCCGCACAGCACTTCTCAATCATGTCCTTGGTGGAAACTGGGGACAGCAAAATGGGACAGAGTCAACAACGCAAACAGGCTGTGGTTCCAGGTGTCTGGTGTCTCACTGAGGAGAGGAGGTGCCCCTGTGGTCCACCCAGGCCCCTTTTACTGGAGGGAACCCATTCTACCTTCTCGTGCCCTTTGGCCATGAGCCTGGGCTCTTTACAGCGCATGGCTGGTGCCTGGTGCTGGAAATTGCCTGAGATGCTCAACTCTCCCATGGGGGTAGTGAGAGGGAAATGAGGCCCACAGCTGACTCACATGGGACACAGGAGCTCAGATACTTGTCTCAAAAGAGGGAGATCCTCATAGGCTCAGTCTAAGGTGGACTGTAGCTAACTGGCTCATCTAGTTCCTTCCCTGACCCCTCATGACAGAGCTCTCCAAGTGACCCCCAAATATACAAGAATCCTTGAGGCTTCTAGAAGTTGGGTCTGAGACACCAAAAAGGGATAAGAGATAATACATGAGTAATAATGAATGAGAGAAACTTAAAACTCTCCAGAATAGCTCATGGGAATCTATTTATTGGGCATACAGAGAATGTTTTGAACTCAAAGGCACAGACCATTAATGTAAAACCAAGGTAAATCTGACTACTTAAAAATAAACATTTTCTGCAAAGCCTTCCATGAACATGACTGCTGACAGGATAGGTGATGCTTTTGTAATGCCTGAAAACTGACATGGAATTACTGTCATTTAGAAAAAAAATAAACTCCTGAGAAAGCAACAAGAAAAAGATTAATCCCAAAGCACAAGAGGTAAAAAGTATGACTTGACAACTGACACAAGAAACCAAAAAAAAGCAGACAGGAAGACACTCATCCTTTTAGAAGATCTAAAACAAATAAAGTGCTAATTTATAAAGTGTCACCTTATTCTGCTTAAACTAGAAATCTCAGAAAGCAGGATAAATGCCCAACTCCAGCTGGAGTGCCTTCATCCAGGGGTAAAAGCAGAGAAGGGAGCAATCTGGGTGGAGAGGGATCTGGTACCAACGTTCACAATCAAGTAGGTTCATGGCCAAGGACCCTACAGGTATCAGGGAAAACCTCAAGAGGCCCCGGAGTGAGAGACTCAAGGGTGCTCATCTCAGTGTTGTCCGTGGAAGAGGGCAGGAGGCACCCTCGGTGCCCATTACCAGGGGCAAGAATGGGTAAAATCTGGGGATGCCCTCTATGAAAGGCTTCTGCCACCAAAAGAACAGACCAGATGGACAGACAGCAGCAGGGAGCTGGACATGTGCACACACAGCAATGTGGCAATTCAGAGCACTGTGGGGAGAAGGGACCATGAGCATGCACCACGCAATGTAGCATAACACACGCAGAGGATGAGTGCACATTTTACAAGAATGCATGCTGTTGTCAGTAGCTGTTAGGTGCTGTACTCAACAGCTCCAACTCACAGCAATACTATGTGCAACAGAAGGAAACTGTCCCCAAACCTACGTCAACCTCAGTCTCCACTGTGCTAAGTCCACTGCTGCAGTCACAGCATCGTTCACCTCGCTCAGGGCTGTTCTCTCTCACTGACTCTCCACTCATCCCATCACCGAGGTCCTTTCCCAAGGACTCAACTCCTGAAACACGCCCAAAGTACATGAGACGAAGTCACTATCCTCACATCTAAGAAGCATTCTGGCTTCACTTCTTCCGAAACAGATGTTTACTTTTTTGATAGCCCCGAGCATAGTCACGATGCTTCACCAATACTACAATTCAAAGACAACAATTCTTCCTTATTCTTTATGCAACTTTCACATGCATCAGAAACATCTGAAAGTGCTATGGCTTGGATCTGGCACACCTTGGTCTTTCATATGACATCCTTGTTACTTAGCACTGTAAAATAATCTGAGCAGCATATCTGTCCAATGCAATACACAATTTAATTTCTTGACTTCTATTTTCATGGTGGTGATGGTAGATCCAAATAAAATGAAATCCCTGTTGAGGTATAATTTGTACTGATGACTATAGTACATATAGATTATAAGGGTGGATAAGGCAGACCAAGCACTTGATGTTTATTATCTCATTTGAGGCTGCTGTGTTGTTATGTGCCATCCAGTCCCCTGTGACCTGCAGCAATCCTATGTACAAAAGCTCTGAAGCCCTGCCCTGTCCTGAGTCAGTCTCACAATTTCCAACACACCAACCCCCATTGGCCCAGCCACTGTATCAATCCATCTCATCCAGGGTCTTTCTCTCCCGCACTGAACCTCCATCCTTCCAAGCATGATGGAATTTTAGGGCTACCTCTGTTTCTCAGACATGTAAATAGAAGTTCTCCATGTTTAAGACACACAACCCCTAAGTGTGAGGTTAGAAAAATAAGGATGAAGAATTCAAACCCCAGCCGTCCACCCTCCATTCACAACCCTTCTAAGAACTATGTCTACTATGGGTCACAGAGATGAGCATAAGTGTATCCAGCAGTAAGGTCCAACAGGTCCAACAGTAAGTACATCTCCTCCCCAATTACACTGGAATTCCAAACCCAACCACCCAAATTCAAGACCATCCCACAGCCTATCCTCTATTGGTTACTTCATCTCCTGTATCTCCTGTAGCCATAACCTAACTCTACAATCAAACTCTCACAAGTATGTCTACAGGTAGAGACTGGCTAGAAACTCCATACCAAAATAAGAACAATTGTCTCAGTACAGGACTTTTTCAGTAGGCAACAACAGACAGAATGCACCCATAACACAGCCTAATCAAACAGGGAATTTCTTCCCCAACAGCTGACCTTTAACACACTGCCTCCGTAAGAAAGGAGAGACAGGATGCAAATGCATGCTGCAGGACAAAAACTGAAGATACTGGTTGAAATTATTAATCTATAAAGAGCTGTCCTTTTTTCCTGGCTTGTGTTTCTTTCCACTTTACCATCCTGGAATGCAGCAGGGAGAGCTTGTTCAAAGAACCAGTCCAGTGTGGGGTGTGTAGTTTACAAAGTTCTCTGTCATTTAGGGCTATTAAGCATAAGCACTTCAGAGAACGTCTCCAGCAACCCATGGCTTGTGGCAGCAAACCAAATGCTGGGGAATCTAACATTTCCTCCTGGTTATATTTGGATTTGTGGTCAGACCCTGCTACCCTGTCTTTCAACACCATTCCCAGAATTAGCACAAACCGGATGGGGAATCTATCACTTAACAGAATGGTTGTAAGGAGGAGCAAGACCCCTATAATTTGCTGGCCCCAGTAACCAAGCAGTACGGCTTTTCAATGTTACTCCTGCTATCCCAACTCACACACATGCTAAACGGTATTAAGATTAATTCTTACCATTGCAGGAGAAGTTATATGAACACTAGCCCCGTGGGGAGGTTTGCATACCACAAGGCTATCCTGACCAATCTAAGTCCCTAGAAGAGACTGCTTTATCTATGGGTAAAGCTTTAGAATTATAGCAACAAAGCATTGCATCCCTTGCCTAAATAGCCGTGAAGCACAGAATCACTGTGGTCCATGCCCTACCTATTTGCTGAGCAAGGAGGAGTCTATACAACCTCCTGTTGCATTTATGTCAACACATCAGAAGTAGAAATTAGCATCAAGAGACTTTATGACCAACTCAGATGGCTACAAAGGAAAAGGGGTTGGTAGGGGGTCACCAAAAAGGCCTTTCCAGCTTTGCCTGCCTGGCTAAGCCCTCTCTCAGGCTTTTTGGCGGTCATTTTACTCCTCTTATTTGGGCCATGTTTATTTACTCTTAAAATTCATGCCTCCCAGGCTGCAAGCATTCCACATCAAAGTGATGACACTGTAAGGTTACCACCCTGAGCAAGTCCTATTATCCCCAGTATTCAACTAGTACCTTCAGATAAACGAGATGCAGTAGAGTAGCTAGGATATTTAAGGAGATATAGGAGTAAGGGCCAGACAATGCATGATTCCAGCATGAAGCAACTAAAGTGGCCATCATTTAAAACCCTCAAAGGACTTAAGGGCTTGATATTTCTAGGGTGGAATGTTACAGACAAAATAGAGAGAGGGAAGAATAAAATAAAGAAAGAAAAGAAACCCAGTCATGCTGGAGCTGACAGAAGTGAATTTCAGGCAGAGTCGCAAGGGCCAATCAGCACCAAGAAAAATACAAGTCTTACCTTTCAAGAAAGATGCCAATGCCTCAATAAATGGACGTGTGTAGTAAAGAAGCAACATAAGTACACAAGACTCAGTGGCATCTAAAGTAACAGACCAGAGTGGGAACCTCTCATTGGTCCAAACACTACCTCATTTAAATAGTACATACCACAAAAAGGCTATACAAACACCTAACCTCCTGGCCTACTGGTAAAAAGCTGGGCTGCAATCCTGAAAGCATGCAGTTCAAATCCACCAGCTGTTCCAAAGGAGGATGGGAAATCTCCTCCCAAGCAATGAACTGCCTGTGAAAGCCCACAGGAGGGTCAGCTATGGGCTGGATCCAACTCTATGGTACACCACCACCACCACCACAACAACCCCCTCATAGCCCATTGTCTGCTCCACAGTTTCCTTCTTGTTCCAGAGCTGTTCATTCTAAAATGTACTGCCTTCTACCTTTAAAATAAACTGACCGTACCTTCACCTTTGCTTCTGCCTCCTTGGTTTTCTTTTAATTTTTTTTATTTTGTGGTTTTTGTTGTGTCTGTTTTATTTTGTGTGTGTGTGTGTGTGTATGTGTTTACAAGTCAGACATTTCAATACTACTACAAATAAAAAGGCACTTTTCTGAGCCAATGAAATTTCCATACATCCTGATACCTCTGGGGTGCCCACCTTCCTATTGTCTCCCACGTGGTTCAATTCGCTGACCAGGCAGGAGATCGAAGCAAGGACACTCACTGAACACACACATCTCTATCCTCTTATCATACAGGCCAGACCACCAAAAGATGAGAGAGTAAACCCAACACAAGAAACAGTGCTGTTGTTGTTATTATGTATCATCAAATGAGAACTGGCCCACAGCTGACCCTCCAGTGGGTTTTCA